GTGCTGGAGGTGCCAGGCTGGGCACACAGGAGCTGTGACACCAACCAGGGCACACAGGATCCCTTCCCTGGGGACATGTCCAAGTGAGGGCAGTGCCACGGGATCTCCCATCGCCATCCCCGGCCACTCCATCCTACCCAGTTCACATTTGKTTTCTGAACCCTGCTGAGCCCCAGGTTTCCTTGGAAAGCTCAGGCACTCACTGCTGCACTCATCCTGTGGAATATTTCCAGTGTAGCACAAAGGAGAACGGGAAGCTCTGGTTTTCTATCYGTAGGCACCATGCTACACCTCAAGGCCCTATACACCACCACCCTAAAGCTCAGTCTACGCCACACTTCAGTCAGTGCTAGTCGAGGAAGACTACAACTAGAGTTTAAGGCACTTCATTCTGAACGAGCTACGCCTGCCAGTCAGCTGTAGGCTGCCGTGGAGAACTCCATTCCCTCCGTCTAGCTCGCAACATCACATCACCTCCGAGGAACACCTAGGCTGGATATAATACAAGGAAAACTACCGTTATTGCATAGGACTACACTTGAGTAGATAATGCACCGAACTACTTTTACAACATGGTTGCATGTTAAAAATTAATAACATTGTTATCAAGTAACAGTTATTTGCAGATACAGTAATTTACTCTTTTTTTTTTGTTTTTTTTTTCTCTTACATCAGCCCCAGTGCTGAAATAGAACACAAATTGCTCTAACGGGTATATTAACTACATAGTTATGTTTCCAAGCATATTACTACTTTTTTTCTGTATCACTAAAAATAAATATGTAAGTTCARTTTCTCTACAGAGTTGTTTTATTACCTAATCTAAATTTTTACTCTACCTTAAATGCGTTTAAAAACATTTTCAAAGTGAGACTGTAATATACAAAATATTCTCAAAATCTCTCTTAAAACACAGAACCCTGCATAAAAGCTTCCTTTCAAGTGTTTACAAAGAACGCAGAAAACTTCCAATGAGTTTTAAAAATGTCAAAAAATCGCTGCAATATTAAGAGGCAAAAATCTTACAAATGAAATACAAATAAATTTAAAACAAAAAGTTGAGGATAACTAAGGAATCCATGCAAATCAAAAGAAACTGTACAATGCAATTTAAAAAAAAAATAAAGCCAATTAGATATGTACAACATAATGTGCCCAGCTGATAATATGCATMATTTTTTTTTGTCCAAAGAGTGTATCCCAACTTACAGTGCTCCTGCTTGGTTTGCCGTCGGCAAAGCCATCCATGTGTGTCACAAAACAAAATAAAAAATTTAAGAGGAAAAACTTGAACCATGATCAAAAGGAAAACCCAAATCAGCTCAGAGTAAAATTAACCAGCACTCTGAGACACTCACATCTCCCTGCAGTTTCAGCAACGGCATTTTATATCACAATCAACACAATCAGGATGTCTTAACACTCGGGTTTAGTTCGTTTTCTGAGTGAAGTCGGGTGGGTATTTTCCCTAAACACTTGTCATGTAAGACCAACATTTGAGGGACACTGTATCTTTAAGGCAGCACTATTCAATTAATACAATTACAAATTGGACTTTTTTTGTTGTCGTTGTTTCTTTACATTCTTTAACTTTACATTTTGTTTCCAAGTAAATAGGTTGCATTTACAATCCTACAATTGCCCCCTCCCCCCCAGTAGAAACAGACTCTTCATCTGTAATTCTATTGCTTTGAGTAGATTTGACCAGTTCAAAGTTCTTGGAGAATCCAGTTCACAGATTCTGTACATATGCTGTACAATATTTTGGAGGCATTGGTAGTTTTAAAATAGAATATACAAGTTTCTTCACAAAAATTCTAAAAAAAATCCTATATATATAATATATACACACACGCACACACACTGATGAAGCACGAGGGGAAAAAAAAAAAAATCAAAAAATTCTACAAAAGGTAAATTATTTCATCTACTGATCAAGAACCAAAGCAGTTTCTGAAAGGTGTGCCAACAGATGCTAACAAGCATGGTCAGTGTCCTCCATGCTCACGCTGCTCCGCCTGCTACTCGTCTTTGACGCCCCAGGAGACACGGAGGAGAGCAGTGGGTCAGTCACTCCCACGGGGGACAGGGTATCGTCCATCAGGATATCTTCCAGTTTGGATCCCATCTTGGCAGGGACGCTGTAGGTGCCAGCTGGYTCTGTCACGTTGCCCAGGTTGTCGCTGAAGCTGATGGTGCCGTCGGTGAGGTCCAGGGTGGTGGTGCAGGACAGGTCTGTGTGGTGTGGCATCATGTCTTGGGTGCAGTTGTCCAGCACAGGCTCCTGTTTGATGACCCTGTTGACCATGTCAGGGGAGCAAAGGCCTGTGGATGGGACAAGGGACAGTCCATGGGCCCGGGCTTGCATCTCAAGTTCCTGCAAAGGAGAATAAAAGGGCAAATTAAAACAAAACCCGAAAGCAAAACCCGTCATTTTAAGCTCGTCCTGCAGCCTCCAGTTTCCTCCTCCTGTAGACATTTCCTCCCTCCCCATAGTGACAAGTGCTTGCACCCTGCACGCTCCAGCCCTGCAGATTTTCACCTGAACATCAGTGGTGGGTGAACACCACCCCACACAGACCCTTCACACTCCTCCTCAGCACCTACACCACAGCCAAGACCCAGCACCCTGCAGCACAGACGTGTTCCCCTCGGGCTTCTTCTCAAACCAGTGCCAGGATAGGCAAGTTTGGCATCAGGTAGGGTGAGGAAAACATTTAAAAATAGGAAAGAAAAAGTGAAACGGCAGAAGCATGTGTTTAGAACTTTTTAAAAAGTCTTATGTGAAGGTGCAGCATGTCTGCGTGATCCTTGTCAATCCCTGCTGAGACACTGGAGGGGACATTTCTCACTCTACCAGTCTGGTACAGCTGGAAGAGGTCAATCAAAACTGAGCAACAACACTATTCCTGCACTGAAAAATCACAAGGAAGTCACAGGAAGGCCTCAGACTTCGCATAGAGCCAGGATTCTTCAAATTTCCATGAAAAGTTTAAATTCCACCTTCACATTTAATCACACAGATGCACTTGACTGAAGACAGATAATGGAAGAATTCACTTAAATGCCCTCACAGAATTACATCAGTAAAAGAGATGTTTTGTTTCTACTTCCGCATTATATTAGGCAATCACAGGCACTGTTGTGATTGTGCTGTTCCTGGATATTCCTGATTAAYAGCCTTTTCCATCATTTTCAGGCTAAGCTTGTAATGGCACACTGCAAGATAAGAGAAGGTGGAATGAGCAAGCACTTCTTCCATCAGCTAACGAGCCAGAATCAGGAGTTCCTTACTCCATGCTTAATCAGACTCAACACAAAAAGGGAAAATACACACTTGAGGCTATTTGCTGCCACATGTATTGCCTGTTATTCAAGGGTCTGGGTTTTACTGTGTTWTGATTGAAGCAGCCAGAGCAGATGGATAATACACAGCAAGATGAAAGATGTTTAAAAAGTGCTCTCACTTAGCTTTGAAACACCACTGCTTGGTGTCRCTCTGCAAAAGGGTTTTGTGCTTTTATCATCTCATTCTAGCAGCAGATTGCTCAACCAAGTACAAAACCTGCGCTGAAGCTCAGCCCAGCCTGTGCTATTTTAAAGCTGTTTACTTCCACACTTGACTCTCAGGTATTTGCAGCTTCATTATCTCCTCGGTGGATTATCTGGGCTGTTGAGGGATCTCCTGGCAGGCTGCAGCTGCATGCAGAGCTCAGCTGTTGGTGCTGCAGGGGGGCAGCACACGAGGATAGCTGAGWTCTCACTGTCTCCACCTTAGGTGTTCTTACACCCAGTCCTAATACACTAATTACCCTTCCATGGATAGGGGTGGCTATCCAGAAAAAAAACCTGTTTTGGCTTCAAGGTTAAAGTTTCCTATTCACTTGAGGTGAAGGCAAATTGATGAATTAGTTAAGAGACACGGCATTTTCACCCTTAAATCTGTAGATCAGAACACTGGGAACCTGGGTGAATCTAACAAGGCRACAACCCACAGAGAAAACATATTCATGCCACCTACTGCTTTTCAGTTCTGAGGAGAACTGTTGCACAGTCCCACAGACTTCAAGGAGCTGGGACTGCTCCCAACAGCTGAACTTAATTTCACGATTACCAACAAATACATGATACATGAAGTCCCAACTCCTTAAGGCTGGCAAACAGAAGAATGTATTATGAATGTTTTTAATGGTGTGGTTTGGAACTGGAGTTGGCCACGGTAGAATAAAAACAGACCACTCATAAGTGTTTTTACTAGAGTGTTAGGATTCTATTTTCTTTTTTTTTTTAGCTAAGGTATCTCTGTCTTTTTTGGAAAAATCGCTGCAGACATCTCAACACTGGCCACTGTTAATTTAAACAGCGGTTCGTAACCCACACCCCACAAGTCACCACTGTTTGCAATCACACCAAGAGCATTTGCAGCTCCCATCTCAGCAAACCTGTATTCTGAGCAGCAGGTGYCTGTTGGCATGTTCCAGCTTCTTCTGCCTGTTCTCCAGCTCCTTGGTGCGCTGCTGCTCGCGCTGCAGCTTGCGGATGTAATCCACCGACGCCTTCAGAATCGTTCCCTTGTTCCAGCGCATGTCCCTGCGGGAGCAGCACAAAACGACAAGGTGAGGATTGTTTCACAGATGTTCCCTTCACTCCTGTAGCTGTGATGACCCCTCACACAGAACACCCAGCTATTATTTATTCAGGTTTATGGATACAGAAGGCATTTGCAGCGCACTAGAGGGGGCTGGAGCACAGGCCTTGGGAAGCAYGTTCGCTTCAGAGAGAGAGGCTGCTGCATCATCGATACTCACATCATCTTACTCTCTCTAAAAAAGCAAAAATCATCTTAATACAAACTGTCAGAGCACAGATCCACCTGTCCTGTAGGTTGAGGATGGGAGATATTGTCCTGCTGGCCTTGGAAGAGGCTGCAGAGCCTCTCTGCCCAGTGGCTGTGGAGTTGCTCCATGAGCAACTGCCTTAAAATACTGGAAAATCACCGCAAAAGTATCACGGGGCATTCAAATTTAAGTGGACTTTCAAACTCCTTGCTACTGAATCAGCACTGGGAAAGTGTAAAYACAAGCTAAAAGCAGTAAAATCACTGCAGAATTATCATAAAGAACATCTGGGAAATTRCAACAAACACTAGCTAATTATCAGTGAACGGGCACACAGTTAGTATCTACATTTTCCTTCTTTTTTTCCCTTGGAGGGAAGGGGAATGTGATGGCTTCCCAGATAAACCATGCTCWGTTTTCACTGAAAGAGGGACCAGTTCTGTCTTGTCAAGCTGCACCATCTGATTAATTAAAGGAATCATTTAGCAAGACATGCAACCATCCAAGCAGCCAGGCCAGGGTAAAGTTTCCCATCATCACAACTCTGCCTCTGCTAAGGCAGTCAGTCACTCCCASCACCGACCCCAGCTTTGTGATAAAAATCATCAAATTTATATAAACACAACAAGTTCCAAAAGGGGAAAAATAAACAAAAAAAACCTTAAAAAAATATAACAGAACTTTCAAGCATTTCTACTGTCACAGAGTCCTCAGAGCAAGAAAAAAATACAGGATTTTTTTAAAAGTTCTTGTTTTCCCCTAGGATTTTTTTACCTCCTCCCTCCCACAGTCTCCCTGKGCATGTTGTACTTACGGGTCATTTGACTTGGGTATCAAGGTGCCCAGTTCTTTTATACGATCGTTAATATTAAATCTTCTTCTTCGTTCAACTTGAGGAAAAACAGCACAAATGTTACAAGTCATATTCACACCTAATTACAACTTATTAAGTGTTTCATCAAAGATTTTTTTAAGCACTACTGAATTGTTTGCCTGAAGCTTAAAATCCAGAGATAATTCATTTTGCTCTCCTACACACAGACACACCAAGACAGAAATTCTGTCTACACTGTAAATTGAGACAACTGAAGGTACAGACTTTAACTAAGACTAAAATTCAGAATGACTGAGAATCAAACATTTCTCTAGAGAGAAGTATCACAGACAAAATCAGAGACATATTTAGATGCTCAAGGAAATCCCAAGACAAAACACGGGACAAAAGGCACATTCTCTTTTTTAAAGTACTCTTCCATGAGCAATACTCTGATGATCCAAAAGTCAAATTCAAATTCTAATTTTCCTGTATTGCTTTTTCATGCTATGGAAAAGGCTTCTGAATAGCTCAAGAAATTGAAACAGTTCCTTTTTTCCACTACTACAAAGAATAAAAAGTTAGGTTATGGATCCTTTAAGTCATAAGATGCTCATTATTTTACAATGGTTTTTTTTTCTAATTTGGAAATATGAGTTCCCTTCAAAAAATGGGAGTTAAAAAATTGCCACACCGAGGACCCACACTGCTGTTTAAAGTAACAAACTGACCACATATCGAACATAAAAAATAAACTGAAATTAAAAAAAACCAAAATTGTGCACGATAGATTTGTTAAAAGCAACTGGGTCACATATTGCTCCCAGCAATTCCATTGATAACCACTTGCTCACTTGGTTTATTGAAAAAAAATTCAAATAAGAGTTAAAATTCAGTATTAGATTTAAGTACACGTTTCACAAAAATTTGCGATATTTAATCTATGGGCATGACACAATGATCTAGTGCTTTATATACAACATACAGATTTAAAACATCAGTATTTGAGCACATAATGCCCGAAATCAGTCCAAAAAGTGGTGCAAAATGCAAGGAACGAAAACTTACTCAAGTTGTGATTGTCTTTCTTTTGCCTCTCCTTAGCCAAGGCTCTCGCTTCMGACTCTGTAGGAAAAATACATGCTGTGCATGTGAATGAAGTAATTAGAATTAAAATAATTCAATCACAACCTTTCAGCCTGCGAAATATCAGCACAGGAAGCCCGATGAGTATTTCACACCACTTATCACCCCYGTTCCAAGGAGCAAGAAGGGCCTGTGGATGCCAAAACACAGCAGTGGGACAGAGCTTTGCCTGTGCACCTGGGGAATGTCTCTTCCCACATTTCCCAGAGTGAATTCCACGTCGGGAATGTTTCCCACGGGGGCCCTGACTCAGCAAGGTATTTGAGGACAACAAAGTGCTGAAATCCAACACACCTTCTCCTACGTGTGCACATGTGTCCCAGGGTAGCTGAACCAGGGGAGCAGCATGTTTATGRCATTACTGACTGCTCAGGATGTGACACAGGCAGGAGTCAGAGGCTCTGCTCGCCCAATTTAAGGTGACATCCTTCTGTGGCATGTGCACACACATCACTGCAACACTCGAGGGATAACTTCAGGGATGTGGTAAAAATAGTGTATTTTCCAGCTACACTAAGTGTTCCTGTTATTTGAGAAAAGGGTGAAAGAATTCAACACCTTTCTTAGCAGTAAATTTGGAAAACAATGGTTCTTGCTTTGGGGAAAAGCAAAAAGTAATGGCAGCCATGCTGCACAGAATGTRTGTCCTCAACTCAGAACTGATCTTCACCTTGCTCCACACATTTATTACCTACTATTTATTATTACATTATTAATGCTATTATATTCTATAATTATTAACTAATTATTAATTTAATCATGCAGTAGTCTGGGCAGTTCCACAAATAAATTTATTCTTTTCAGTTCTCATTTGACCTWAAGTTTCTCAAACAATTTTAAGTATTTTATCTTTGTTCTACCCCTTTTCTATTTTGATGCATTGGGGACTTCCATAAGACCACTTCACTCACAATTTCCCCTCTCTTTCTGCGTTCTTGGCCTGAAGTCCAACACAACCACGTGCAGCAAATCTACCAGCCTGCACATCCAGGTTGGGTTGAGTTTGCTGCCCACAGCCCCTGGAGCTTTCTGTTCTTGGGAAAATGAAACTGCCTGTAATGCAGGACTTGGAACAGCTCTCCTCCCTTCCACCCAGTTCTATCTCTGTACAAACTTTGCTTTTTCTAGCAGCCAGAGTTCATTGTGTGCTCTGTCTTCTTTTGGTGCTGAGCTCAAATTCTGCGCAGTCCTGCACACACAAATATCTGCCGGCTCACAGAGGTGGCATTTCCTCCTGGCTCATTAAAACTGCTCTGCTTAAACTAATTCCTGCCCAGAACCTGCTTTGCAACTTAGTCAGACTGTGAGTTTTCACAACAGAAACCCAGGAAGATGAGAGCCAAGAAAGAAACCAGGCCCCTACCCTACTGCAGAGTCAGTGACTCTCTGTTGGGCTTAAGAACAGGCATTTCTGGGCATTAATATGATTTTTTCATTGGTTCTAGAGTGGATCTCCATTTGTTCAGCCTACAGACAACCTTACCTTGTATATCTACCCTGTTTGTGGTTATATCCTTTCAAGTGAGCAGAAATAAAGCATGYTTGAGAATATGAAACTTATTATTTGCTCCAAACTATCTCACTTCTGTACACATGTGCTTGAGAGAGGCTTTTAGTGTCCCACTCTCCTGCCCCTGCCTCCCACAGTTCAGAGCACTGCTGCAGGAACTGGCATAAAAAAATTAAGGAACACTTCATTTTCATCTTAATTTAGTGATGCATATTCACAGAACGACTTGGGTGGGAAGGGACCTTAAAGATCAATGAATTCCAACCCCCCAAGTGCCTAATTTTGTATTTTCAAGGATTTGCATGTCCAGATTTCACACTGTAATAGGTTATTTGTTCATTACTTCCCTCCCCTACTGAAGTAAAGCCCCAATGTGTAWCATTCCTTGAGATTAATCCCACAGAGACTCCAGATGGGAAGTTTTTAAAGTTTGGTGTTGATAGAGTAAACAGGAAGCCCAAACTAGAAAACAGCTCTGGAAGAGGAAGAGATGCATGAAATCTTCCTGGAAACAACATTTTCATATCTGAACTTGTGACAGTGAACACACACATTCCCACACAASCTAAAAGTAACTGTTCATCCATATGTTCTTTCTCATAACAGAAATTAAGTCTGGTATCACCTGAATTCAAAATCATTATACTGTTAACTCCAAGGTGGTATTTTAGATGTATTTACCTGTGAGCTCCCTTTTTATATTAGGAAGRTTAGCTGGACATGAGTTGCTGATGTTTAGTCCTGGAGGAGGCATGCTTTGGTTGCCATAAAGGTCAATCAAATTGCCAGACACAGGCAGCTGGAAAAGATAAACAAGGAAAAGGATCATTTGGTTTGCCTTTATGAATGTCTTTGTACAGAAGAAGAGAGTCAGAAGCACAGAAATCTGTGCACTCTTCAATGTGCAAACAGCGTGCGAGAAGGTCAGCAAAATTCACAGAAATGCATGGGCATGAGGATAAAATATCTACATTGGGAAAATTCTGTTCTCTCTCCTCAAAAATGTGCAGGCTTAAAATATTAAGAGGTAATAGAAAAGATAAAATGTTGATGATATTGCTGCACTGTTGCTCCTTRTTTTTCATTAAAACTATTATATCTATGTCCCCAAAACTTCTCTCATTTCTAAAAGAGCCTCCAGAACTCTCCCAGGGATACGTGAGTGGAAGTACTTTGCAAGTTGTCACATGCTGGAGGAAGAACACTGTATTAATTAATCACATTTTTCATGTGATTTGAAAGCTACCTACACAGAAAACATTTCAGTTTACTTTGTTTTTCGCCTTACATAACAAGAACGCACGCCAGTAGGAGGAAGATTATTTTTACAGTAAGTTTCCTCAATTACTTGTTCACTCTGCTGTGTTTGTTTAGGTATTTAAGCAAGTAGATTTATACAGAAATAGGACAACATTTCAACAAGACCTATCAAAGCTATTCCTTTATATTGAAACATATTTAAAGAAGCTTACAATTATCCTGAGTGGATTATTTTACCCATCTCTTATTTGKTTTTGAAAAGACAGGTACAAAACACTCTGATATCTTATCTGAGTGGCARTGCTTCTTATCATCACTGCTGCAATGAAAACCAACCCCTCCAAGACACTGATCCTGCAGAGATTAGTGTAAGGATTAACTTTACAGCCATGTAAATAATGCTGGTGAATACAATGCACTGAGTCACAGCCAGGATTATTAAACTCCTACTGATGGGCCTTGCCAGACTGGGACCTAAGAAAATTTCTCTGCCATATGGAAGCAGATGAAATAGAAGTTGATATGTAAAGTACCACCAGCTAGAAGCCAYGCTGATACCTGTTGAGAACAGACARTGGCCAACAASAAAACCAAAATCTCCTGACTCAAACTTTAAGACAGAGAAAAAAATGTAACTGAATTCTCAACCAAGACATCTAATGATGCTGCTCAGTGCCAGCTATCCTGGTTGAGATCTTCCCACATTGTCAGGGTAACCACTCAATCTCACTGCCCTACAAGGGTGACCCTTGTCTCTTTGGGTCTCCCAAATGCATCCATGACACCGGCACAGCAGAGCCTCACACACCTTTCTGAGCTGGATGTGCTCGACCTATTCATGCTCCTAAGCATGGGGAGAGCATAAAGACCTTGTTAGCAGCCCAAGGACCTGAAGTTCATAATCAGACATGTGCAATCTAATTAGAAATTTCAGGGAATTAAAAAAAAATAATATTTTTTTGTTTGAAAGCTACGAAGTGGCATCTCAAAGCCTGGGTAAAGCATCCAGATTGTAACCAAACGTGGAGGAACAGTTAAAGTCACCGAGCTGGTTTCCTTACTGCAAGATGGACCMTGATTGTTACAACAGTTTTGATTTTTTTCCCCCAAAGGTGTCAAACACTGCACCAGATTTCCACATCAACAACCAGGAGCAGCATGAGCAGTGACCACAAAGGGGACAGCAAAGGCAGGCAGCAACTGCTGAATGTGCACATGTGCATGGCTGCTAAAGGCTGTGCACAGGAATGCTTATCAGGGCAATTCACATGGGGGGGAGATGCAATCTCCACTTAAATCAGGGATCCATGAGCAAAGAGACTGATCAGCTTCTTTCTTYGTTCCCCAGCATCCAAACTCCACAGGTCAAAGCTTCACTTGTAAAGTTTTCCTACAGATGGTCCATGCTCAGTGTGAATCTCTGAGAGGTCTCTTCTCCAGGGTRGCTGCAGTTCACAGCTTTGGGACTAACTTATATAATTCTTTTCAAATGAAAACATTAAGTTCATGCAACACTCCTGGTCATCTCACATAAAACACCTGCAGTTAAAGATAGGTTAAAATTGAGGCACATCCTCAGCTCACAATTATGTAACAGGTCCCAGAGGAAWAAAATCAATTGACTAAGGTAACACCAGTAATCACTAGTTCAGGGTTTAGGGAACTGGGAAAGGTGGCAGGACCCCTCTGCTGAGAGCACTGGTTTGAGATGCAGAAGACAGCAGTGTGGTGAGCACACAAAAGCAGCCACTAGACTTAAACAGGGCAGAAAAAAAACCTAAAAGGGATTTATTATGCACCCATTGCAGTGACAACTGGGCATTWATTTCAAATTGGAAATCAGTTGAAATTAGAATTGGGTTTCTTATGGGAAGAAACTGGGAAAAATTGCAATTGTAATTGTTTGCAAACATTTCAGCTCTAAGACAGTTGAGTCTTTCACCACCATCCTCAAGTACAAGATGGGAAAACATCAAAGCTTCCAAAGCCATTTCATAGGGAAGATGGAGTTTCAAAAGACGTGGAATTTTCTGGAGCTAAGRAAGCTCCTTCCCTGTCTTCTCCAAATTCTAGCATGTTTCCAACCTAAATATGGTTTTCCTTACAGCTTTCTTAGCTATTTCTGGCTGAGAAAAAAATTTAAGTACAGCATCAGCCAGATCATCCACCTTTACTCTTCCAAAAAGTAAATGAAGGAAGAGTGGCTTATGCCAGGTTTAGCACATTATCTTCATTCAAACAGCATGGTTGAAAATGCTCTCACTTGTGARATTTCATATTTCAAGGTCTTGGCATCACAAATTGCACAAACACACCAAGTAAAACAGATTTCAATCTTCCTATCACTTTGCATCTGCTTTTTTTTTTTCTAATAATGGCTTTTATATAACAGAAATTCGAAATATGGTAATTATGACTGCAGATTCATCATAGTGTACATTCATAGGAGTCTGAGGCTTTAATTTCTCCTCCACTACTCCAACAAAACAAGCACCCACATTCTGTCTAAAATCACTGAGACATCAGCTGTGTGATCAGCGAGGCTGTTTCTAAGGCACCAGTACACACTGGGATGGATTCTGCACCCCAGATTGTGCAGCCCACTACGGATTGTGATGTTCCCTGACCTACAAGAACACCCAGCAGCAGTCCCTGTAACACAACTTCTCTACTGTAGAGTTTGAATTCCAAGAAAGACACATTTAGAARTGGAGCTGCACCTATTCATGGAGCTTTCCATGCCAGGCTCTGGCCAGAGTTGAACAGTTGGATGAATTAACTGTCATTTCCATAAGAGCACTTTAGACAGTACTCATTAATTCAATTACCAGGTCACATCTAGGCAGAAAACCKTTTTTATAAACTAGTGACCATTTTGTGATGCTTTCCACCACAGGTATTATTCCACCAAATATCAAAGCTGACAAACACTCCACACAAGCAGTTGATTGCAATGGGCCATTTTCAATTCAAGGTACTTGGAAACTCCCTTAGCTTCCTCTAAAAATCTCTGATTGCACAGAAATCTCTGATTTTGCTTATCAATTAAGTAATGTTACCAACTGTAACAAACTGGTCCTTTTGTTCTTTGTGGGTTATGGAACAACAACTGCCTTTGTCACAGTCTGAGCACAGCTATTTATAGGTTGTGTCTCTTCAGAAACCATTTCCTCTCTTCATTTCTCCCACCTCRACTTAGCTCAGTCTGTAGGCATTAATTCCTTATTAATAAAATGTTGTGTGCTTTAAGAGCTAAGTYCTGCCCCAAAAGAAAAGTGTCTGGCTCATTTTTTTTCCCTAAACCAATTGTTGAGAAACATGTTCAATTTCCATCTCTTCAGAACTGGTATCAGGTTGACTCAGAGACTGAAATATGCTTTTTCCCTTGAGTTATTTAACTGCATTAGTAAAGAAGCCTTAATTTCAGTGTCTGATATCCTTATTTTTCAGACTTTGCCACAAACAGAGTGGGAAAATTCTGAAATCCACATTAAATATGAATCAGGCAGTCTTCACAAGTTTTTTTGCTACACAGCAAGCACAGCAAAGCACAGGAGGGATAAGGACTACCCTGAGCATCATCTACAGGGACTCCTTGCACCAAAAGAGTGCAGAGTAACATTCTGTCCCTGTCTGGAATCAGAGAGCTGGGGTCCCTGTGAAATGAGAAAAGAAGAAAAGCATAAAGATATCTGAGACCCTTCTAAATTAATGGGTCCCAATCCAATGGAACTTCAGAGAAAGGACTCCAGAAAAATATCATTCCTCCATCAAAGAGAAAAAAAATTGCAAAATAGATGAACTTTTTCAAAGCTATCTTTTGATAGTTTGTTGAGGTATCCTCTCAAATTCCAGGACAGCTGCACTTTGCAAGTCATCCTAGATTAAAGGAAAAATTTATTCTCTCCAGCAGGACTGTGCAGCTATTTCCCTGTGTACTCAAAGGGCACTATTTAGAAAGGAAAGCTGGTGGGCCGCTTCCTGCGTCATCCACCACGTCTCTGAGAGGGCTGTGGGAATCTGTGGGAGCACAGGACGAGGTTAACATGACATCAGACAACTCCTGTCAGCAAATGTAAACCTATGCCACAAAAATCGATGCTCTGTGGTAAGCTGCAAATTTTGGCACCAGATAAAACAGACGCCAGCACTGGCAGACATCTACTCAACCAGATCTAACAGCACTTAAGCCTAAGGYAAAAAATTCACTGGAGCCACCCTCCACAGAAGATCAAAATCAGATTATGCCAGAAGTATGATTATATTAATTCTCAAAGCAATGTGAACCAAACYAAAAGAGCCACTTGAGGAAACCTGTGCCTTCCCTCAGTGCTTTCTGCACCTCTGTTCTTGGCTTTTATCACAGACTTCCCACGTCCCCTGCCTTGTTTACTTTTCAACCTTCTTTATTCCCTCCCCTTTTGTTTGTTTTGCAGATGGCTTTTTAAGTTCTGTACCATCTTTGCTGTCATCTAGCTGGGGCCTTCTCCCCAGCTGAAATCAGGCTGAGCTGAAGCTGTGATGTTACAGATAACGGAGTATCTCTGGATAGGGATGCTAACACATGGCACACAATTTCTTACTTGAATATGACAACATTTAGGAATTTGGGATGCCAGAGGTTCCTTCTTTTCTGAAGCCAAGCATAAAGTCCATGGCAATCTTTACTATTAGTGTACATGAGCTACTCCTGGTAGCAGTTTACTCCTCTGTTGCAATCCTCTCACCACTAACTCGGAAATACGAAAAGCAAAATTGTCCTTTGTATTCTCTCACCCTGACTCCAGCTCGTATTTTCAAATTCATGTTTTTCATTACAACTGCATTACCTTAAGCTCTTCAAAGGAAAACTAATTCCACTCTTTGGAACAATGCAGTAACTACTTAATTGCAAGGAAGAAAAGTCCTGCTGCAGTTTTGCTTCCTCTCCAGGAAAGACAATCAGAATTAACAGGGAAATCAAAAGGAAAGGAGCTTTGTACCGTATTTGCCATCTGCAGGGCTGGGTCCACCAAGCCGAGGATTTCTTCATTATAACTGGACTCCAAACTAATAATGTCATCAATCACATCATCCATCTGCACAGAAAAGGTGGACAAAGAAAAACACAACAGTTATCAGAACCGTGGGACACAGGAGCCTGCAAAGCCCCGCAGCCACASCGCAGAGGTGCCCGTGCAGCTGAGACTTCATGCTCTAACCCCCTCCTCCCAGCAGCGCAGGAGGAAAGAACTGCCCATGGAACAAATGGCTCTGAGAACAGGAATCCCTGTGCCCACTGCAGCACYRCTGCCTCCTCTCYRCCTCTGCCCTGTATGCACCAAAACCTGTGCACAGACAGGAGCACCRAGCCCTGGACACCTGCAGGGAAGCAGGGGGAGCAAAGATCTGCTGCTTTCAGGGTGACAGGCTGCCAGCCCTTGACAGCAGAATCCATTGGATTCATGTCCCTCACACACCTTTACCCCAGGAAGCACCACCCAGGGGTGGCTCAGAGATGATTTTAGGTGGTACAATAAGCACCGATCAGCTCAGAGCTGATTTTAGGTGGTACAGGAAGCACCCATCAGCCCAGAGCTGATTTTAGGTGGTACAAGATGCACCAATCAGCCCAGAGCTGATTTTAGGTGGTACAAGATGCACCAATCAGCCCAGAGCTGATTTTAGGTGGTACATGTTTCAGGGGTTAGGCTGGAAGGTGCCTCTGAAAGCTCCTGCACAGGCAGGAGAACCAGCCCTTCAAGGCACCCACGCAAGTGCTCCAAACAATCCTGCAGGACTGACTGTTTCAGTGCAGGGCTGACTATTTCCTTTTTGCTCRTTATAAAAAGGCAGCTTAAATGGCAGAGACCTACAAAATCAATGCATAATGGTGATGGTAAAAGTAGCAGTACATGGGAATTTTTTATCAGCTCCAGAAAGTGTGATCACAACAAATTACACTAACTGGAAGTGAGGGCAAGAAAGGAACTAACAGTTACAGCCCATTCCCAAAGTCTTGATACTGATTCTGGTAAGAAATAAAAAAYCYTTAAGTTTAAAAAAAAAWTAGTGAAAATATAAAAGGGTGACTWCTGAGGATGAATTACCACAGATGGATTAAAGCCTTCTCATATAATTTTTTAAAACACAAGTGCGATCTACATAGCAATATGGCCTTAGAAATTATCAGGGCAAAACCACATCCATGCAGTCTTGGAAAACGCAGTTAGAATATATTTCCTGATGCAAGATCTTAAAGCATGGGTGATGTGTTCTTCTGCTATGGCATTACAGTGCTAGAACAGCACAAGCCYTTCCCTGATATCTTCATGCACTTTTCACATCAATGCTAACAACCAACATTGCTGTTTTGTACTTTAAATACATCTTACATTCAACTTCTTAAAGACACTGTGGGGCAAGTTTATTTTTTCAACATAACATGAAAGAAACATGCTCATTAGAAAGGGGACCTGTGCTCCACCTCCTGTGTCATCCAGTACCTGCATGCATGATGCTCGTGAGTGTGTATTCAGAGCCGGGCACTCACTCTCAACCCTGCTTTGCTCTTCAAATTTATAAAATCCCTGCAGAAATAAAAAGGAAAAA